CCAAAGTAAGAAACACATAAAATGAGCCTGTCGAAGCCAATAGCAGCGCATATGTCAAACCAGCTCTGGAATTTTCAGCAATTCCATACTGGGTTCATCCTTTTTTTGTAACATTCTACTGAGTGTAGAGACCCTCAAAATAAATGCAATTCTGATTTTGCTAAAAGCAGTTTTGATTCTCCTAATGCCATTTCTGGCTTTGTTGTTGTTGTTATTGTTGTTGTTTGTTGGTTTTATGTGCTTTTTGGTTTTTTTAACATAGCACTAAGTCCTAGAAGTGGGAGCCAAGGCACCGAAGCAGTAAAGTCCTTATGAATCCTTGCACCCACATCACACAGAAATGGATCTGTCCATGTGGAGCACTGTGTAGGGCCCAGTCTCAAAATGGCCTTACATTTACCCAATGAAGGACCTGCATCCTCCAGATTTCATTCTGTTTTCTTCTGGTTTTGGGCCCAGGCAGCACATAAGCTCATATTCCTGATGTGGCACATCACTGAACCATCAAAGATGTCTTTCAGCTGTCCTTCAAATGGTTAGTAACTGAGGCTACACACTATTTCTTTACAAACTGGTTTGTTTGATAATATGTAGTTTCAGTCTGACCGATTAAAACAACCAGTTTCAGCCATATCATTGAAAGAAATGAGGGCAATCCCACATGCTGTATGTGCTTACATGTAATACAGTCATCATTTTAAGACATTACTAAGTAACAATCACATTTAGCAGCCAAAAAAGTAGTAATTCAGTTAAGTGAAAATATGTTGCCAAGGAGAAAAGAGAGACCATAACTGAGCAGCTCTACATGACAGCCATTGAGAGTTCAAGCCTTCACCAACATCAGACAACATCATGCACCTGCGTGTGAGAGTGAGCAGGAGACACTGGGAAAGCCCCACCTGTGGAAACAACATCAGGGAGATGGGAAACCACATAAGACACCAGAGAATGCAAGAGAAAGAGCTGATACGGAGGGAAACCATACTTACAAATCATGCCTTTTTCTACTGTACGAACTCAGATTGTATGTCACAGAGCCCTTTGCAGGTAATTCCTGGTACTCTGAATTGCACTTGCACACACAAACTGGAAAGTAATGTACTTATTCACACCTGTGGGCAACCATATCATTGTCACTAAGGGCAATAAACTAATGACAGCTTCATTTTTGCCAAGTTTTATTTATAAGCTAAATGCATTCAGATTGTACCTGGCCCTTTCAAGGGTGAACAGTGTAGCAGGAGGCTGGAAGGAATTTTTGATTCCTCTCCAAAGACAGAAAGAAACTGTGGTTCCCTGGGGGAAAAAAAAAAAAAAAAAAAAAAAAGAGCAAGGAGGAGGCAGGGCCATAACATAGGTTTCATGGGAGAATGAGAGTGAGCAAGCAACTACAGCCTGTGTTACAGGAGTAATCGGAGCAGCCAGCAAATTCTTCCAGCTGCTTTCAGTGTACAGCACTGCCTCTCCTCATCCCACGGCTCTTTGCTGCAAGATGCCCCAGCTTTCTTCAGTGAGCTGCTCTGTGTCTCCCAGGACAAGTGTCCTTTAACATGAAAGAATTCCAGCAACTAAACTCTGCAGAGCAGGATTAACTCTCAGTGGCAGTGGAGACTCCTTCTAGCAGAAGGGCTAAAACACCTGTAAATGGCATCATGGATACAGAGAGAGCCCTTGCTGGAAGGAGACCTGGGTGACAAATAAGTTATTAAAGAGCCATTCATGAGCATTCTCTTTATATTGTTCTTCCTGCTGCTGAGCCATAATTACTTTTATTTCCTTTTATTCCCTCCCAACTGGAAGATAGGGAAAAACAAAGCTTTTGTTTAACACTTCTGAACCAGGCATTCCAGCTATCTTCATTCTCTAATAAAGATCTAGGACTCACCTCACTCACCTGAGCAATTCTTACCCAACTGTATGGCACAAGAACGAAAGACTGCATAATGAGGTCCATAGTCAGAAACTCCATACAAAGATAAGACATCCCACAGAAGGAAGAAGGATTCTTGGGAACAGCTTCAAAGCTGCCTCGGTCACATATCTGTTGAAAAAGACCAAACAAAAGCTTCTCTTTCCCATGATATCTTGTCCAAAAAATCTTTCCAGCTACACACAGCAATAACTATATATAACTACAATTAAAAGACGGGAGCAGCATTTACTGGCTTAATTTCCTGAATAGGCCTTTGTTAAAAGCTGTCTGAAAGCTGCCAGTTAGATTGATGATTTTGAAAATCAACAGAATGGGCAGAACTGTATATTAATTGCATATATTACTGCAAGTATATGAGGAAAATCATGATTCTGTAATACAAGTTACATTGTTTAAGTAAGTCTTATACAGCCACAGGAGTAATGTTTCACTGCAGACATTCTCAATGTTAATCTATAATGTAACTAGCTGCAGCAAGAGAGAGGAACAAAAACCCACACCAACAGTTTGTAGCTATCCCATATCTCCGACAGGGTGATATAACATAGCATATGTTTTAAAATGATAAAGACTTCCAAGAATAAGATGCAGTTTCCAGAGAAATATTCATACACGCCCAAACAAAAGCAAAATCTTGTAATAATTGAATAATTGCAGCATTCTGTACCTAAGCAGTCCAAGAAAAATCCAGCCCAAACCAGCCCTTTTCAGTGGCTTAGCTGGTCAACACTCTTACACACAAAGCCCAGTGCTCTTCCATAAAACCTAAGAATTAATCAGCATTATGTAAGAGATTTTTATAACACTCTAAAAATACATTGTGAATTCCTTTCCAGTGTTGGACTGAGAAGCTTTAAAGTACAGCCACCCCTTCATCCCCCTTTTAAACAAACACTGGATCTTCCTTTCTGATATCAGAAACTTAAATTTGTTTCAGTATATGTGTCTCAAATCTCATTAATTACAATATTGGCCTCATGAGATACAACTGCTGCTATTAAGTGTCGTGTTTGTGCTTGAAATGATCTGAGTGTGGGCACAGATACAGATACTACATGTGCAGAAAGACTCTCGAACAGGACAAATGGTACATAAGACTTCACAAGACCACAGGATGTTTTTGTGTTACTGTACCTGTTCGCTTGGCAATTCTTGTATCCACAGGATAGCGCTTTGTTTGAGTTGTTCCAAAGGATACTATACTCCCATAGAATTTCTGCAGGGGCAGTTGTAATGTTAGCTTGGCAGATCTACAGCAAAGTCCTATGATAAAACTCTGGGTTGCCCTCTGTTTTTCATACACATAATAAATGAATAAATACTGGCATTATGTCTGTATCTCACTGAAGGATCTCTAAGCAAAATTACAAAGTCATCACCCAAATGCTAATGGTCGTCCAGGGTCATACCTGTGCAGAGAAGGAGCTCTAACACTGCCCCTGGAAGCAGACTCACCCTGCTCAATTCTGGACATCCAATGCTGCCCTCTAGAAGTTCACCCTGCTCCAATTTGCCCACCAACCATCATTTGATCTAGGAACATCCAAGGCATCTGCAGTCCTTCAGAACCAAATAAATCATAAGAATGCAAATGAAAAATGGGAACAAAGCATTTTCAGCTCTGAAAATCTTCTCATGGATGGAATGCATATCCAAAGGACACTGAGCAATCTCATTTTATTTTTAGGAAACACCTCAACGTAGTTCTTTTCCACATAGCAACTTTTCCCCCTGCAAGAGCAACACACCACTGACATAGCCATCTTCTCAAAATAGCCCCCCGCCATTCAAGCCACAAACAAATCAATCAAAACTATTGAGGCAAGCCAGAGAGATTTTGCAGAAAATAAATAAAGAGGGAAAAGAGGAAGACACAGAGAAGAGCCAGGAACCACTTCACTGCTGTTACCAGCTCCATGTGAGAGCTGTGCTGATACCACGGCAGTACGAAGCCTTGGACAGGAGATAGCCAACGTCTCTGATGGGACGGCAACGGCTGTTCCACATGGGTAAGCAAACGTTCAGATGAAAATTGTACTCAGGACTGTGGCATCTGAACCAAAATAAGTGTTACCTATCTTGTGTGCTTTTGCCTGAGCGTGTCCATGTTCACTATTTTCCTCCCTTAGACTACCGTTATTTTTTGTATTTTACCCACAACCCAGGTCCTTCTTTGTTCTCTGCTCTGATTCTTTCTCTGCCTTTCTTTCTTTGTGCCATTTTCCGCTCCCTGTATTCACACTGAATACAATCAGTCACATGGCTAGCCTTCATGTGAACTCCATGCTACAAGACATGTAAGTATTATTCGGTATGAATGCAGGAAAAACACATCCTTTTGGTTGGCTCTTCATTTACATGCCATTCTCAGATTCTCTCTCCACAGTCCTTTCCCTTTTTCATCACCCACATTCACTGTGCATTGTTCTTGTGCTTTTCTCTTTCCTTTTTCTCTTCTCCCCCATGGCCATTTACACCTCCTTCTCTTCCTGTGTCGCCTCCCTCACCCTTCCCACCTCTCCCTTAATGCTCATTCTCTCCAGTTGCCCGCTTCCTTCCTATTCCCATCAGAGCTCTGTGGACAGCTCTTCCCCCACTGCAGGTGGTGTGACCTGGACGTGGGCAGGAGTGGTGGCAGTGCAGAGGCCTGGGCTGATGCTGGCATCATCCAGCAGACCCACCTCTATCCTCCATCCCACCGACCTGCATGAAAAACATTGCGGGGCAAAAGCCCGGGGCCGGCAGACAACTTTGGCATACAGTGGCCTTTGTTGCAGCTTGCATTAATCTGGTGATTTACTGCAGTGAGTTGCAAAAGCACAAATCCCACCCCACTGGAGTCAACAGTGGGGAACGGTCTGCGTGCAGCCACCGGCCGTGCAGGACTCCTTGGCGTTCTGCTCCTTCCTGTTGTCTCTACCGCTCCATCGCTAATTTGTTCCAGTCGCTTGTTAATGCTCTCCTAATCCCCCCCAAAACAATTTCACCTCCCCAACCATTTCCTTTGCTCTTGCAGCTCAGGATCCAGAGGACGCTTTGCTGCGGCTCTCACAATGATAAACAGATGCCGGCGGTCCGTGCCGCGCACAACTTCCCGCCCCAGGTGTTGTCTGGTGGTTTGGCACGGCGGGGCCTGGCCGGAGAGCGCTGGGAGCGCCGGGGACGGCGCACCGAGAGCCTTCGGGCGGCACGACGGGGTGGGTTCGGGTCAGCTGTGTGTTAGTAGAGGTGAGCGGGTACCAAAGGATGGCAGATGTGGGGCCGTACTTCAGGAGAGCGGGGCGCGGAAGGAGAGCAGAGCGCTGCGTGACCCCGGCTCTCTGCCACCACGTCTCTGTGCACAGCCTTCACACCCCCAGCGCAGTTCCTCGATTTCCCTCACACCACCGTGCGTTCCTCTCCGTCTCCCCAAGGACAGGTTTCTCCTCAGGAGGCGCTCCCTGCCGCCCCACGGCCCCCCGCCGCCCCCGGCCGCGTTGCGGGGCTGCGCGCCCGACCTCGGCACCCCGGCACTGCGAGGGGCGGCCGGACCCGGCGGAGGGCAGCGCCCGAGCCCCTCGGCGCGGCGGGGCGTCGTGGCTGGGGGCGACCCGGCTCCGCGGCCGCGGGCAGGCTCCGTGCAGGG